AGGGTACCAAGTTGGAGGCCAGCGCTACCAGGTTAAAAAAGCACAAACTGACAGCGAAAGCAAAGTTGGAGGTCGGAGGCCAGGGTACCAAGTTGGAGGCCAGCGCTACCAGGTTACACAAGCGCAAGAAAAAACGCAAGACAGTCAAAGTTGGAGGTCCTTGCTAGTGGGTGGAGGCCAGGGTACCAAGTTGGAGGCCAGTGCTACAAGGTTACAAGAAGCACACAGCACAAGAAGCACAAGACAGCAAGTTGGGGGCCAATCTAGTGGGTGGAGGCCAAAGTTCAGGTTAAAGAACCCCTTACAAAGTTTGGAGGCCTACCTGCAAACCTGTAGAGTAGCCTAGAGGAAAACAGAAGGAAAGGCACCGACACACAAGTGTGTCGAGTACCATTTCCTCCTGTTTTCCTTCTTAGCGGAACAGGTACGGAAGTTTGCGTCCAAACTTCCATCCAGTCGATTTCCATAGCTTCATTGGCGTGACTAGGAAATCGACCGTCACGCCCCCTGTTCCAAACCTAAAGGTTCCCTTTGATCCCAAGGGTTTCACACACACGCACGCCTGTTTGCCATGGAGCAATGGCATACTCACAGGGTTTTATGCTAATTGCCAGTGGCACAGCCATATTCAGGACTGTTGTGGATATCACACACTAACGTTTAGGATCGACTGCCCAGTTTGATCGAAAAACAAACAAGGTATTGCCAAGCAATCGGGAGTGGAGAAAGGAGAGGAGTGGAGAGAGGACGAGAGGAGAGAGGAGAGATGAGGAGAGCAGAGCATCGATGTGACATCGATGTGGCTTGCCATTGTAGGGCTTGGCTTTGAGCAGGTTAGGTTAGGTCCATGTGGAAACATTATATTTTATGTATCTCACACGCAAACACACGACGCATCATCGCACCACACACGACAGTTTTCTACTGTGCAAGCAAATGCAGCCATGCCTCAAGACGAAGCGTTTCACACCACAGCTTTTGTCACCCCGCTTTGTCATTGTCGACAATCTTTCGCGATTTCAACGCACAAGATGCTTTGCACCGTTTGCGCCCTGCTAAAAAATCCCCCAAACTGTGTGGTCGCACTAGAGGTTCTTACGGTAGGTGTTAAGCGCCGGTGTTTAATCGAGGTGTTGCACCGACGTGTCCGGCTAATTCACTGCTATTTACAGTACATTCATGCCTCTCGAAATCCTCGAAGTGAATTTCGACTGCGCAGGCTCGCAAAATCTGACGGGCCACGGTGGGTGCTTGTGGCGCCGTGCGCATTTTCGGACCCGGTGGTCACTTTTCGTGGCAGGGGCAAGGGAAAGTTGACTTTTCGTGACAGGTGCAAGGGATCGGAGCGGGGTTACTTAGACGTGCAGATTTCGTGGCAGGCGCAGCACTTTGGACATGGTGGGGATCTAGGAGGCGCTCTAAGTTTGTGATAGGTGCAGTGAATGGCGACTTTTCTACACGTGGCTCGTTTTCAGAAACAACGCCTTGTCAGGGCTGTCGCATGTGAATCTTGAAGTGCAGATTTCGTGGCCCTTTCGTGGCAGGCGCAGCACTTTGTGAACCTCGAAGTGCAGATTTCGTGGCAGGCGCAGCGCACTGTGAGCCTCGAAGTGCGGCAGATTTCGTGCCAGGCACAGCGCTTTGTGAACTAAGTGCAGATTTCGTGGCAGGCACAGCGCTTTGTGAACCTCGAAGTGCAGATTTCGTTGCAGGCGCAGCACACTGTGAGCCTCGAAGTGCGGCAGATTTCGTGCCAGGCACAGCGCTTTGTGAACTAAGTGCAGATTTCGTGGCAGGCGCAGCGCTTTGCGAACCTCGAAGTGCAGATTTCGTGGCAGGCACAGCACTTTGTGAATCTCGAAGTGCAGATTTTGTGGCAGGCCTCAAGACCTCCAGAACGCATTCTGCGCTATCTGACGCGTGCTCTCAGATGTGCTCTCAGATATCACTCGCACTCACTCTCACCCACACCGACACCACTCACTCAGTCACTCAGTCAGTCACCCAGTCACTCACCCACTCAGTCACTCAGTCAGTGACTGACTGACTCAGTCACTCAGTCGTGAGTCACTCAGTCACTCAATCACTCAGTCAGTCCGTCTGTCACCCTACCCACCCACCCACCCACACACCTACCTACCCACCCACACCCACCCACACCCACCCACCCACCCGCCCACCCACGCACCCACCTCCATCACCACCATCAAATTCCATCTCTATAGCTATACCTCTCTAGCCCTCACACACACACACACACACTGTTTGGGGTCTCTTGCCTGCAGTGAAATTCGAAGCAGAAGCAAGCAAGATGTTTCGTGCCAAACGTTTGGCCTTTACCAAGCTGGCACTGTCGGACAAAGGTTGGTTTTTGTTTGTGGTGCGCGCAGGCCCCGCCTCAGAAAAGACCACGCCATGAGCGCCATGAGGCAGTTCCAATGTCAAAGGAGGAACGAATGTGATTGAGCGTCGCTGCATGCTTGGTGTTGAGGTTCTCACAGATACATCCATTCGATCAGGATCAATGCAGAACGTGGCTGCAGAACTTCGATGAAAGAGGTTCCTTCCTGCAATATTTTCCTGCTCTCGAAGAACAATTTGATGCGGATCTGGAAAATGCCGGGGCCTTGTTAAACGGAGTAGGTTGGAGGCCATCGCCAGTAGGTTGGAGGAAATCGCTTGTAGGTTGGAAGAAATCGCTAGGAGATTTGAGGCCTCACTAGAGGTCGGAGGCCATCGCTAGTAGGTTGGAGGCCATCGCAAATTAGTAGGTTGGAAGCCATCGCAAAATTAAACTGTTGGAGGCAATCGCTAAATAGTAGGTTGAAGGCTATCGCTAATTGGTGGGTTGGAGGCCATCGCTTGTAGATTGGAGGCCATCGCTAGTAGGTTGGAGGCCATCGCTAATTAGTAGGTTGGAGGCCATCGCAAATTAGTAGGTTGAAAACCATCGCAAATTAAAAGGTTGGAGAATCGCTAATCGCCAATTAGTAGGTTGAAGGCCATCGCTAATTAGTAGGTTGAAGGCCATCTCTAATTAGTGGGTTGGAGGCCATCGCTAGTAGGTTGGAGGCCATCGCTAGTTAGTAGGTTGGAGGCCATCACAAATTAGTAGGTTGGAAGCCATCGCACATTAAAAGGTTGGAGGCCATCGCTAATTAGTAGGTTGAAGGCCATCGCTAATTAGTAGGTTGAAGGCCATCGCTAATTAGTAGGTTGAAGGCCATCGCTAATTAGTAGGTTGGAGGCCATCGCTTCTAGGTTGAAGGCAATTCCTATTAGTGACGCGTTTTCGAAAGCCTTTCCCTGCCACCCTGCAGGTAAAGGAGGCCCGGCTGATGTCCCATCCATCCCGTGGTCGTGCCGAGTCGATTGATGAAGAATTCTGGAAAGCCATCAACGTGAAGAGCACAGGACACAAGATCATGTTTGCAAAGAAGATTTGGCAACTCCCGTAATTGACCCCGTGTGGTTCAAGAGTTGATGATAGATCTTTAGCTTTGACTGTTCTAACCGAAGCCTGGAGCAGTCGCCTCTCAACCGTGCTGGGGACGCCATGCAAAAACCATGGCTTGTGCTCGGGCGCGGCGGCGATCGTCTTTGAAAGGCGCCAATTTGCGAGGGATTTGCCTGGTTTAGTCCAGGAGCCTCTGAACAAGACAGAAAAAACATGAAAAACCGAAAAGTTTGCTCGACCGTCACTGGCTCTACTATTCTTTTGAATGACCATTCGCTGTGGATTGGCCTGGCTCAGCACTGGCTCTTCGGCTCATTTGTGGCAATCTGAAAACTCACGCACCCACCATCACCCACTCAACCACTCATATGCACACAACATTTGCATACACATCCTCCATTCTCTCAGCCACATGTGAGCGGGCCGTCAATGTTACAGCCGCTTCCAGAGCAAAATGTGCTTGCAAAGAGGATGCAACTTGGATCTGCAGTGGCGACTTTCCTTTGTTCACTCTGCTTTGGCGGATTCACTCGTCCATGGGACCCTGTTTGCGCATGAGAAGCCAAGGTCTGTTCAGCATGAGAAGTCTAAGTTGCCACGAACTGTGAAGGTGACCAACTCAGATGTTTTGGAGAACATAGGGCTCGATGAAAGTCCAGATAACAACTTGGGACATCGCTAAAGGACACCTGAGCGATGCTTATATGTGGTGACGACGCATCGTTTTGAGGTTGACGCCGCTGGGCCGGGTCAGTCTTCCATGGGCAGGTTCATGGACTTCCAGGTCAGGATAGTCGGCCAAAGCGAACCAGTAGGAGAATGTTCGCGTCAATCGACGTGGTTCAGTGATTGACACGTAGGTCCATTAGTAGTACTGTTTGGGGCTGTGATTTGTTTTCCTTCTCAAGAAGGTCTTGCCAGAATTCTTTCTACTCTTCAAGCTATTTACACAGTGCTGTTTGCCCAGGGCTTTGTTAATTTTGTGCAATGCCCTGACATCCTTTTGGCAGGAGATGGCTTCTTTGGTTTGCCAATGGTTGCAACCTGCTGAAACAGTGTTTCTGCTGCTGGCAAACACAAGGTACAAGTGTGCACAGACTCACACATACTCATTTGATGATGTGGCTTGGGCTTCACTCAAGATTTCAAGACCTCCCCATGATTTGGTAAAATCATGAGGCAATCCAACCTGGAACAGTACGGTTGGATTTGTTGCACCATTTCTTCGCTGCTTCTGGGAAGTCATGGCTTTTGTGCAGGCTGTGCCAGGTGGCAGGACAAGAGGAGGACAGCCAAGCACATTTGGGTGACGAAATCGTGAAGCCTCTTGCCAACGATCCAGGTTTGGAGAATTTTTTGCCGACGGCAGTGGGGTATCAAACTCGGCGAATCTGATGAGTCTCATTGCTGTGTCAAACGGCAGCTCTGGCGATGCTCGAGCTGAGGCCATTCCGCGAACTTGCATTTGTTCAAGCACCCGAAGGACCCCATCCTTCGGCACTTTTTGTCGTCAATTCGATGCTGCCTGGGACGGTCTGACAATGGCAGCAAGTCTTGGTTTTAGGTCTTGCAAAGGTGAGTCGTAGATCAGTGCGGCACATCTTCCAAGTCCATGGGCTCCAGACTGACTTGCCAGGCAGGATCAGACTGACAGCGACGGAAGCCGTGGATACTATTGTCGTAGTTTTCGTTTTCATCGCGTCCTGCTGGGATATGCGCGGCGTTTTCATTACTTTCGGGACCCATCAACCACCGGGAAGCGAAAGCAAAGGACAAGCGGACCGGGGAGGATGCAAGTTGGCGGACCAGTTGTCGTCGATCATCTCCAGGGAGTAACTTTTGCACCCGACTGGATTGGATGATTTGTCATGGCGTGGAGGTCCAACAGCTCTAAAGCCGCATGCACTCAGCCGTATGCACCCAGCCGTGGACAAGATTCTGCAGAGTTTAAAGACCATGAATCGAACATAAGGCCTGCCAAAGTACACTTCTGCAATGCTCATTGCTCGGGTCAAGGAAACTTATGCGACCTTGCACTGCTCGCCAGAACACAAAAAGGAACATTGTTAGCATCCTCACAATGCAAATAGCATGGTGGATTCAAATCCAAGTCATTACCAGTATCAGTACCATGGTCATAACAGTCAATCCAAGCTTCATCTAGGAACCAAATGAATAGTGCCAGCGTTTCGGAAGTGTGAGCTATCCTTCGTCCACTGTCCTTAATTATGAGTAGGCGCCTACTTCATTCGCGAGGGCAGTGGGCCAAAGAGTTTGGCTCCAGATGTCAGCCCAGTGCCAGTGCGTTGCCGTCCCCCCCGTCCGGTTCCGTGCGTGCCCCCGGGTGGAAGCGCCCGATGATGTGCAGTGCAGTTGTGTGTTGCTTCTGGCTTTGTCGCAAAACACGTTCGATCCATGGATCAGGGGCTTCTGTCTTAAATTTGATAAGGGGTCCTAAATGAGAGACCCTTGGAAAAAGGTCAGCCTTCAAACACCCTACAGCTGCTGAGTAAGGCGGGTTTGGATAATTTTTGTGCTCACAAGCATTCTTGCCTCAAGTTTGTCAGCCTGCCCACCCCCCTTGAAGCCAGAGAGATACCCGTTCGAGGTTTAGGAAACAGTGCACGGCCGCCAAGCTCGCAAACTTCGTCCAAACTGCGTCCAAGCACAGCGAGAATGTGAAGCACTCTACTTGAATAGACCAAATAAATCCAAATAACCATAAAGAACCATAAAGGCTTTAGTCAGACATCAACTCCTGAGATTATTTTGCTTTAAACATCAACTCCTGATACCAGGTGCAGAACGAACCAAATCCATAAAAGGAAAAAGCAATGGAAGTACATCGGCCTTCTCTGCCTGAAAGTCTTGCCGGGCCAGGGGAGTGTCTTGCCCACGTTCGCAGAGGAAACCTGATGGGGAGACTTCAATCCCAGGATTTCCAGACCCCAAAACCGAGATTTGTTGTCCATATGACATCCGCGGTAGTCCATGCTTTTCATTTCTTGTTGTTTCCTCGAGTGGCGACTTCGTGTTTTTCCGGGTGCGGGACTCTCCGTTGCCAGGACTGCCTCCGGGACAGGAATGGCTGGTTCCCACGAGAAGTTGGCAACGCCCGTTGCTTGCCTTCATTCCAGGCAGGTCAAAACCATCGGAGTTCGTTCGGTGGACGGATATGACCGAGTCCGCACTCTCCCCCAGTCTACGAGCCTGCGCGGGCTCGGAGAGAAAAAGCGGACGCAGAAGAACCAGATTAAATGAGTTGCGGACGCTCAGAAGAGCTCCATTTGTCGTTTTAAACCTTTTTAACAAAATTGACTTGCAGTCTGAGCCTTGCTGCCAAACAGGTGCATCGTGTGAAGGCCACTGAGGGGCCTGGCTTGGTCATGGACATCCGCATGACAAATCAGGACGAGAATCCAGCCGAGCACCGAGAAGCTTAAACTGTTGCGGCAACATCCTTTTGCAGGAATTGGTGGCGGTCACAGAAGCAGTTACTGGTTCTATTTACAAAGACGTTGCCTCCTGAGATTCATTCCATCAGCAGACCAGGCGCAGATTGCAGATGCTTCGATTTTGTCGCGCCAGGCGAAGATGCTGGTGATGGACACCAGAGATGCCTCGATCAAAGATCACATCGAGGCGATGAAGAGTTCTTAAAACCCGTTTTTGAGCATGAAGTTGGGAATGGAGATCTTTCTTCAAGCAGGCAGGAATTTAATCGATTTTCCAATTCATCTCAGTTGGGTGTGTTCTTTTCGCTTGAGAGGTGTCTGAGGCTAACATCAACTGCTGTGACGTGGCCGATGGTCTCATCGCAGTGGGAGGCGACGACTTCAAGGTGCGGAACGCCCCTGGGCTCTGCTCGGACGAGCGGCGTCATCTTGAGCAGAAGAACGACCCAGTGTGTTGTAGCATTTGGTGCAGACCAGAGCATTTTTACAAGCTGTAAGATGAACCGGAAGAACGAAGATGAACCGGACGCAAGCATGAATTTGTCCAAGATGAACCGGAAGACGGACGCAAGCATTGTCACTTACTAGCCGTTTTCAGCGTCGCACTGTTGTGGCTGTAAGAAGGAAAGGCAGTACATTGAAGGTCAACTTTTGGTTAAAGCTACTAGTAGAAATGCATAGAAATGCTCTTGTTAAACATTGTTACTAGTAGCTTCTTGTTCCTAGTAGTAATGCCAGGAGCTACTAGTAGCGTCCTTGCTACTAGTAGCGATGCACCTTGCTACTAGTAGCTTCTTGTTGCCCATCGGAGGTGCGGCTTTTCTGGCGCCCGGGTTCGATGACACATTCGAGGCATTGCTGATTGATGTCGAAGACACAACGTGATGGAGAGATGTCATAGCTGGTCAAACGATAAAACGTAATTGTTTTCGCACTCTTCTAATATAAAGGGCCATGAATTCGCACGATTGGTCTTTGGTAGGCTTGGGTGCCGGCCGATTTTTTTCATTGCAAAAGTCTTGCGGTTTCTCCTCAAGTCCGCCAAACACGCCCTGGCAGTTCTTGCAGCAGCAACCAAGGTGGCGGGCGCGAGCAAGTCTGCGAGCGTGGTGGGTTTGGGGCACTTGTTTCTAATAGCAAACATTGTTACTACTAGTAAGGCACTTGTTACTACTAGCGTGGCATCTGTTACTACTAGCGTGGCACCTGTTTCTAATCTTTTACTTTTTTAGCAACGAGGAGATCACCGCTCCAGCATCCAGTGCTGTGAAACTGTCTCAATCATCATGGTCCATGCTTATGAGTGAACCTTGGATCAGTGACGCTCGATTTGAGGTGGGTTCAATTTGTATAATTTGCCAAATTTTGGTTGCCAGGCTGTCAGTCTCAAAATGGCGGATACGTGCTTGGCGAAAGCATTTTGTGCAGCCTATCTGCACAGAGATCGATTTGCAGTCACACCCAAGGGCAGTCACACCCAAGGCTCTGATCCGGTGAATGACCTCCGCTTGGCAGAGGACACGGATTGACTTCATTGCAGAATTCTGTGGGTTCTTGCTCTTAGTAGCTTCTTGTTGCTAGTAGGAAGGCCAGGAGCTACTAATAGCGTCCTTGCTCCTAGTAGCGATGCGCTTTGCTAGTAGCTTCTTGCCCCTACCCTTCCTTTCCGCTTGGGCTTCGGACCATGAAAGCGTTCCAATAGCAAGACTGCTGTGAATTCGTGCTGACCGTCCAGGACTCCATTGTTGCCCTCAAAACGGTCAAAAGCCGACAACCTGTAGGCCGACCACCTGGGGAGTCCGGACTTCGCGACCGACGCATCGGGCCGACCACCTCTTCGGGGCGAGCAGATCCGTCGGATGAGTTGGATTGGCATTCGGCAAA